AGAGAGAGAGAGAGAGAGAGAGCATTTTCAATTAAATTAAATATAATTACCCATAAATTTTGCCAAATTGTTTCTTACGTTGCACTTTGATATCAGGCTTAGACACGAATAGATAGTCTAATAGATTACCGAATATGACCACTGGTTTCGGCCCTTTTAGGCCCAAAGTGTCAAAGAAACCAAAATTACGGCTTAAATGCCTGTCAATAAAAACATAACAATTGAAAATACATTTAAAATTAATGCAAAGTTATTATTTTTTAACTCGCAAATGTTAAAACAAATAATATCAAGAACTACAACAACAATTTTTAAAAATCCATAGTTATTGCTTTTGTAACCTTGGTCCATTTTTGTATTAGGGTTGGCGCAAAAACAAATATCATACAAATATATTATTTGCTTTATAATACAAAACATGATTTACTGTTTTGTATCATTTAAAATCACAGTACTATTTATTGGTCAAACATTTCTAAAATCTCACAAAACACTATAAATTGATTCTGTATTTTAAATGTAATGATCATTTATTTATCTTAGCTTATTTATTATTTAACTAACTGTATATTTTGGTCAAAATCGCTTATTGAAGAGTATTCTACAATGATTATTTCACCTGTAATTCATTACCATATAATCGGATCGAACTGTATACACATTTTATAAGATTTACAAATTTAAAAACAATTAATTTGATTATAAAATCTAAAACAATTATAAACAAATTAGTTTTATAAACGTTGTGTTAAACTTTAAATTGTAATTTAGTCAGCATGCTCAAATTAAGAGCTTTATACTATAATTCATTAACTCTTATTAATGTTATTAAATTTTAATGCAAGTTATTGTTTTCTAAAAATAAAGTTTGTAACATCAATTATATTTAATAAAGTTAATATAAAAAACAATCATTTCATATATATATATCTATAAACTTACTTATATAGTAACCAAATAGCAATTGTAACACTCAGTCCATAGATAGGCCACGAATTTAAATACATATATGAATTCATTATTATTAAAAAATACTATTAATAATGATTAAATTTAGTAAAACAAAATATTTTATGTTATTTAAATCTAATATTAATAGTAAATATAATAAATATTAAATAAACAGAGTATGCCTAAAACTCAAGTCTAGAATTATACATGTATATTTATACCTAGACAATTCAAGGATGTTATCAACAATTAGCATATTATTATTCAAAATGTTTTAATTAAAAAATGAGCAAGATCATTATTAGTTTTATTTTTTAAACATATAATAAAGGATATGGATAATGGTGTATATAAAATATACTTCTACATTTTACTTACACAATTTACTTATATATTAACTAAATAGCAATCATAACACTCAGTCCATAGTTAGCCACGAATTTAAATTCAAATATTAGTGCATTGTTTATATAAATACTATTAAAAAAAATTAAATTTATTAAAACAAAATATTTTAATAATATTTAAATCATTAATTAATAATAAATTTTGTAAAGATTAAATGAACAGGATATGCCTAAAACTTAATTATACATTTACATCTATACAATTCAAGGACTCAACAATCACCAGATTATTTTTTAAATGATTTCTCAATTAAGAAAATAAGCAATGTCATTTATTATTTACTTAATATTTTAGATTTAATAAAAACTGTGGAATGTTGTAAAAATTGTCTTAATAAATACATGTACATGTAATTTATTTGTCATTTAGTTACCCAATCCTATTATACAATTTATTAATTATATAGATTTAATTATTTAAATATTTAAAATATATACATGTAATTATTTATCAACGTATTATTTATTTAGTAGAAATATTTCAACATTAACTATTAACTCAAGTAATAAATGCATGTTTACTATAATCTCAAATAAATATTTTATTTTATAGATAAATATAAACATAAAAATTATAAGTGTTTATATTTATAAAAATAAATGTCTGATAACAATCATACAATTAAAAATACATCTCAAAATTTTTAAATTATATAAAGCCTTTATTATGGTTTTCCATATGACCACATGTTGATTGCATTTAATAGTGCCACACGAGTAGCGTTGCCAAACATAAAGTAATTTTTTGTATTATACAGGAATTTTTACGGAATACAAAAAGTAATTTTCCTGTACATTGAAAAATACAAAAATAAAAGTTTTGAAAATAAGCTGTAATACAGGAAAATACAGGTATTTTTTTTGGCAATTTTCTTACTTTTTTACAGGATTTTCAAAATATTATTTGGCAACGCTAATGATGAGGCATTTCTTATGCAGGATTTTTATTAACATTATAAGAATAGAAAATTCAACAAATATTTGAAAAAAATATTGTTTATAATTAAACTATTTATTTATTAACTCAATATAAAATGTCAATCCGTAGCCTAACTGCGCTGTTCATCCCGTTTGACGCCGTGGGACACGTCAACCCATTGGTAGCCCTATCGGAGACACTACTGGCCGCCGGACACCAAACCGTATTTCTAATGACAAACAAATGGCGGCCACTGTTGGACACAACCCACCCGAACACTACAGCCATATTCTACGGCAGTCAACCCGAACGGCCAGAATCGGTGCCGGCCGAGCCTGCTCAGTTTCTCGGCCAACTATTATTGCAGCTTGGTCTACTGGCCGAGAGCAGTCCAGTGGACAAAATGCTCACAAATGTTCACCATTTACTCGCTCATTGGACGGCGCAGTTGCCCACAATTGACGCTTACATTGAACGGGCCATCAGTGAGGTTCGGCCCGACGTTATTGTTGTCGATTACCCGCTCGCTGTGCCGTCGATTGAACGGTCGACTGTGCCCTACGTTTGCGTCAATGTGTGTAACCCATTGCGACATATACTCGATCCCAAAACGCCTCCATTTGGTACAGGTTTGTCATGTTTTTAATCTAACTAGTAGTTAAAATAATTCTTATATTGATAACAACAATATTAACTATTAGTGAACAAAACCACTTTTATATTAAAAATAAATATAATAGATTATTAAGAATTTCCAACATTTTAAAATTATTATAAAATTACTGTAGTTGTTATAAACAATTTATGTTGGTAATTGAACAGGATAATTATTTTCCATTTTTCTGGTGTTAACGTTGTAACAATTTTTACATTACTTATTTAGCATCAAAATAAAACAAAAATCACGATTGTAAATGTAACTTGTAAATGTGATCATCATTATAATGAATAGGTTATGCGGCACTGGGAGACCAAAGCGAGTGGACAGCTTTTACGGAAAAATATTTGTCGGCCACTCGTGATGTTTGGCACCGAAAGAGCGCGTACTTTGTGTCCCAGGGCTGCGAACCGCTGCAAATAGGCGACCATTTTAAACACTCGCCGTATCTAAACGTATATCAGTTCCCAATTGAGTTGGACTATCAAATGATGCGTCCAAATCCGGCCAAACACTACCGTTTCGACAATTTTATAAGCACCGGTGGCGCCGACGACCCGGCGTTTGAAATACCGAAGCAGTTGGCGAACAGACCGGGAAAGTTGGTCTACTTTTCGTTGGGCTCTATGGGGGCCACAGATGTGCACAATATGAAGAGATTAGTGAGTATTTTGTCTAAATCTAAGCATCGGTTCATTGTATCGAAAGGACCCAAACACGACACCTATGACCTGCCGGACAACATGTATGGCAAGAAATATCTGCCGCAGCAACAGATTGTACCAACCGTGGACCTGATAATCACCCATAATGGTAATAATACTTTTTGCGAGGGGTTTGCCGCCGGTAAACCAATGATCGTATTGCCACTACAGGGCGACCAATACAGTAACGCCCAACGGGTGGACGAACTCGGTTTCGGTATACGTCTGGACGCCTATAAGTGCACTGAAGGCCAACTCTTGGCGGCAATCGATCGGCTCTTAAACGATAAGGAATTACACGAAAAACTGGCGACAATTGCGGACAGAATTAAAAGGGATAACAGTATCGCAATGTTTCCACAATTGGTTGAAAGCATTGTATTTAATGAGTAAATTGTTTTATAATAAACAGATTTAATAATTAGTTTAACCAAGAAAATATTATTCAATTATATAATTATATAATTATGAAATTTATAAGTTTAATATAAGTTAAATTATATAACACAATGTTGTCGTTACTTAAATGTTTACTATAACTAATAAAAAGCGATACAAATATAATAATTTGATTTATTTATTATAATAAAGTAAATTACTAACTTGTAAAAACTAAAAATTTTATAACAACTTTAAAACAAACTACGCAGTATTTAACCTATTTGCATTAAAATCAATTATAGAAATAATTAATCGTGAACAATTTCGATATCAAATGCAATTAAAATTGATTACTAACTTTAAAATTATTTTATCACTTTCTAAACTCTATAATTTATACTAGTTTAGAAAGCGTATAACAATTGAATTTGGATTTAAAACTAATTATCATTAAATTTTTAATGCATTATTCAAAGTAATAATACGGCCGTTGGACGCCATACGGCTCTGGGCGTCGGCCATAGTGTCGCACACCGGGAGTCCAATCGCCCGCAACCTCTGGCCGTATCTCTCGTCAAACATCGCCGACTGTTCATCAGTCATATGCCGACTCCAGTCGCCGATTGTGCCCTTACGTACAAATTGGGCGCCGGTTTCGCCTTGTATTTTCATATTCAAGGCCTTATTTACCATAGGGTTGGCCCGCATTGAGTCCAGTGAACAGTGAGCGACAATTGTGGCCACAATTTCATCGGTAAACTCTTTTTCGAGAAAGTGGGCGATTATGCGGACCATTGCCGGCAGGTCTACAATGAGCTCCTCGTACGCCACGAACAGTACGTTAGGGTTAGCCCTCCCGGAGCCGTACTTTAGCCAATAGGAGCTAACGTTTGCGAACCACTCGCCCAGCCATAGGTGTCCTTCGAGGAACAGGTGGAAAAAGTCAGACCATTGGGTGTCTGACGCGAACGTTATGTGCTTCAGGTTTTTATGAAACCAGTAATACGAGACACACACGTCCTTCGGGTTACGCACGATGTATATCATCTGATGGACACATAATTAACAATATTAATAATAATTATTACGTTCATCTCTCTCTCTCTCTCTCTCTCTCTCTCTCTCTCACTTTGCCAATCGATGTAATATTGTTCGACAAATACCGTGGGCTGAAGTGAGTATTGACAATCCTTGGATCAGCTTTACTCTCATATAAACCCATAAAATCAAAGCCAGGATTGATGTGATTCAACACTCGTTCAGATAAGTCCTGACCCCTCACTCTGTCGACCACACCGTTGGCCATAATGCGGGACACGATCTCAGACAACCACGTGTTGCCCGACTTGGGATACCCGCACAACCATACGTCTGCCGGACGGATAGTCAGGTGCCGTAGATTACGGATACGACTGTAGATCATTGCCGGGTCCATATAAAACATGTCCTCCGCATAGACTAGTGTGCGATCAGTGATGGTCGACACGTATCGATATCGGCGATTATGTTGCTCATTACTAATCATCGTAGTTTTGGTTGACAACAACGCAGCCTAATATTTAGTTATAGTCTTTATTATCATTTTTAATTAAATGAGTATTGATGGTGATTTGAAATATGTTTTTTAAAATTATATTATATAATAAGTTATTATTATTAGTAACCATATATAATTTATATATGATTATATTTTATCATTGAAATTTAATTATATGAAAATAAAAACCACATACAATGTGTTTAATTAATTTGGAAAACTCAGCAATACCATCAAACTTTCCAATGTCTGTAAACTTGTCTAATAAATCTCTATTACCAATAGACGGGATATTAATCCCAACGCGTCGGCCTTCCTGTACTTCAATCTCTGTAATAAATGACATACATTATAAATGTTTTACAAAATAAATGAACTAGATTTAAAACATAATATATCAAGCTATACATGTGTATATTCATATGATATCAGTTATATTTTGAATTGGTTAAAAATTAAATTATATAAAATTATAAAGAACTTAACAACTTAAGAACTTAACATAATTTATTATGAGCAAAATATATAGATTAATGATAGCCCTGTATACCTAAGCAAACGGATTGAGTGCATTTTTCGTCAACCGTGGGTGACAATGGCTGATATGTATTGACCACAATCCAGGGCACGCCTGACCGCGCGACTGATGGCAAGTCTAGCCGCGAGTCAACTACTATAACGTCCGGCCGGATGTCAATGAGAGCTCGCTCTACAAAAGTATCTAACTTGTGGTCGCTTTGGGTCAACACCTGCTGTTCACCCGTTGACAGTCCCGACCCGTAATACCTGTTTGTTTCAGTGTCCGGCTCTTCGCTCTCACCGTCGCTGATGTCGGTTACTATCCATCGGATTGTCGGGTGCTTTGCGTACAGTCTGTCCCGTAGTTTATAATCTTTGAAAATGAACGCCCGATTCCCAACGTCGGCGTCCACCAGATTCTCGCCCATAGCTATGGCCGACTCAACTCTCTCGATGTCAGTCCATGTTATGAATAGTACCGTTAGTTTATTTTGTGACATTATTTTAATAGTTAAAGATCAGTTTAAATATATAACTTTTTAAATAACTATTGTTGTTAATGCGAATAATAAAACAATCGTAAATGTTCTTGTTTATAATAAATACGCTACTATTAAGTGTCTAAAAAACCTATGCTGCTATACTTTTAAATAATAATCATTATAATTTTGCTAAATTATGTTGCCAAAGCACATATTGTACAATCATGTTATTTATTATTATAATATTTGGTACAACACGTCGTAATGATTAAACATATTCTTGCTAAATTATTTTTAATTACAATATTTAATTTTATTTTAAATATGAAATGAAAACCTATTGTAAATTTAACATCATGTAACATAATGCCATGTTTAGGCCTTAGAAGTCTACATTGGTAATAACCATGTTGAGTAAAATTACTTTTTCCCTCATATACATGTATGTCTATTGGAAAAAATGATAACATTTTGATTAATTTGAGATTATATTTAAAATAGGAGGGCAAGCATATTGGTTATATCATAACAAAAACTCCCGTTGATGATTATTTTGAAATATGTTTAATAATTTCTACCATGTCATATCAAAATCCGTGTTTTATAATAATAAATAACATGATGGTACAATTTATGCATGGTAACATAATTTAGCAAAATTATAATGATTATAATTTCAGCATATAGCAGAACCAATCACTAGTTAGAGTTGTTCTTCAACTCAACCAAATGAGCCAATAGAAGCACTTGTTATTAGGTAGAGGCCTACTATATAACACTAATGCGATACACATTGAACACCATTTACGGTACTTGTCTTATAAAAATTTTGTTGACACACAAACACTACTAATCGCCTGATTTTGCCCACCATAAAATACTTTTTAAATAAATTATTATTTCAACGTTATTTCAACTCAAACCCAAAATCCACTCAGGTCAACGATTTACTAAGATAGAGTTTGTTTTGTTTTAAGACAGGGCGTTGTAATTAGTGTGACCACCTGCCCTTTATTACAGAGGATTGTTCTCTTTTCTGGCTCATTGTCCTTTGACTGGGTTATAGAAAACAATTGAATGTATTTTTATAAAAATTTCTATAAAATTTACTTAAATGTTATATAAATCTACAATTTATTAGTAGAATATCTTTATGTAATTTATTAATTATTAATTTAATGATGTTAATATTTCTTCAAGTATTATTTATTTTTATTTAGTAAAAATATTTTTTGATTACAAATGAGTGTACAATTTATATGTGTGACAAACTGTATTGTTTAACACAAAATAATTATATTTACAATTAATATATATTAATAATAAATTTATATAATTATATATTTAGAAAACAATGGCAAATAAAGCGACACTAAAAGTGTTATTCGTGCCGATCTTAACCGAGGGTCACGTAAATCCCTGTATCGGTATTGCGACCCAATTGATAGCCGACGGACACCGCGCGGTGTTTACGGCGAACGACGTTTGGCGGCCAAAACTGGCCGCTTATGGCATCGAAACGGTAGAGTTGACCAATAGTAACGCTACGGACGTCCGGGCTATCGATACGGCCGACAGCGCCCTATATATGATGTCTTCGGGTAAAATTGGCGGCGCGTCGGCCATAGAGAAGGTCCGATTAGAGGCCAACACCGCCAAGTTTTTTACAGAATGCGCCCAATATTTGGACACACAGTTGGCCCGTCTGTTGCCCGCCATTCGGCCCGATGTCATAGTTGTGGAGCAGTACGTGTCAGTGCCGGCGGTCGAGTTGTCGGGCATACCGTGTGTGTGGTGTTGGAGCGCCGGCCCTCTTGTGATGGTCGACGATGAGAGGGCACCGCCCGGTGAATCAGGTTTGTTTGCGTTTTGTTAGCCCCACACACTTTGTTTCGCTACCCCTTCTTACAACTCTACCCCAAACTATGGCATTTCTATTAAAAAACAAACATTATTTATGCGTAAACAACTCACACACACAGCGATGCTATACGTTAACCATAATTTGGGTGATGGTCGAGTAATAGATTA